AGAATGTATGGCTTGTGTTTTGATCTGGGTCATGAATGTATTGGCAAGAACGGGTGAAACAGGACTGCCCATACTTAAACCATCTATTTGAAGGAAATGTTCGTTGTTGAAAATGAAGTTGGTTTTAGTCGTTGTAAATTCTAAGAGAGAAGCAAAAAGTGTGCTGGGGATGTGGATTAACTTGTTGGGGTCATTAATGTAGAGGTTGAGTGCAATATTGCAAGCTTCATTGGCGGGGATTTCGGTGAAGAGTGACACATCAAAACTAGCCATTAAGGCTTTCAAATTTAGTTGTTCTAGTGCATATTTGAAATTAAAGGCATCTTTAAAAAATGAACCTGTAGATGTTACATATGGTGTGAGAGCCCAGGCTATGTATTTGCCGAGATTGTAGTTGAATGAATCATAAGTGGACAGTATAGGTCGTAGGGGGCAGTCCTGTTTGTGTGGTTTAGGAATGCTGTAGAGTTGTGGTGTGCGTGAATCAGTTTTACGTAGATAAAAATAAAGATCGTCAGTAATTAAATTATCTTTTTTCATTTGTAATAAAGTTCTGTTTAATTGTTTTTCGTGTGTGTTTGTTGGGTTGTTTGGGATGGCTTTGAATTTCTTTTTATCGGAAAGGATGTCGTTTATTTTGTCGATGTATTATGAATTGTTCATGATTACAGTAGTGTTGCCTTTATCAGAATTTATAATTTTTATGTTAGTGTCCTTTTTAAGATTAGAAATGGATTTGATCTCGTTGCTTGTGAGGCTACTTTTCAGTTTACGGGATTGGTTGACCATATTAACAGTCTTGTTTGAGAATTCTTTGAAAAAGTTATTTAAAATACAGTTTTGGGGAACTTCGGGAAACCACATTTTGTTGTAGTTACCTGTGATAAAAGTCTGTTGGTTGATGTCATGGATTTCTTCTTTCTGTAGTTGGAGGATATTTGAGGTAGAGGTAGTTTTTTGTTCTTTTATGTAGTGGGTCACGAGTCTTCTGGCTAGATCTTCTAGATACGCCTTGAACTCTAGGCATGGAGTTATTTTATGGCTGACGGCAAAATTGAGGCATTTGTTTAGAAGTT